CTATGCACATTACCTATGTGCAGAGTAATTTTTGCATCCATGTGAACTTGTGCGCAGACAACCGTGCATGTACGAGTGTTTTGAATGCTCAAAAACAATGGTCCGTTAAGCCCCAAAAATACTTTCATTTTGATGCAAACGGTTAGCATATGCGAACTGACAAACGCATAGACCTTTAAGCTCAAATCATGCAGAAGCATAGTATTTTTCAGGATGGTCCAGTTCAAGAGTAAACAATTTGTTATTCACCAATTATCATCCACTTCACCATGACACTCTATTCCTGCACTTGCAATGGCTGTAGGAAGCATTATGACAGGTTTGACGTCAGTCAATTGGTTCTTGTAAGGCTTTTGACCCTCTTTTGATCAAAATTTGGATGTATCTTTTTAAATTTCATATTTAGCAGAGCTAGTATATGGCACCCTGCAAAATGACACCTGTGCACAGATCACTGTGGGTGTTTTGGCAGTACAGAGGGTGACCTGTCTGTGTGTTAAGTAATGCTGTGCTTAGAGAGTATTATGACCAGACTCTTTAGCGATAATGCTTTGGCCCGTGGAGTGTCCGTGCTGTCTGTCATAGATGCAGGTCTCTAAAGTCCGAAGAGGTTAAAGAGCATTTACTGTTGAGAGTTGGACCGTCTGATTCTGTGGCCATCCCAGAATATCCCGGTCAGCTGGTCTCCCTGAGTGACTGAGCTTATAGAATAGCTCGTCCCACATGATGGTGGGAAGGTGGCTGTGTCAGCAGGCACTCAGTGTGAGATTGTGCGCTCATGTGCCCTTTGTACTGCCTGCTATGCGCGGTGGTATGTATCTAAAGGTCGAGGGAGGTACATGAAGCTCCAGCGGGGAGATATCGGGCCACTCGTTGCCCTGGATCCCAAAGGCCAACATGACACTGTCAACTCTGAATTCATTATCCTGTCAGGAGTTTGTATCTTACAGTATTATATCAGGGAACTCAGATTAGTGTCGTATCAAGTTTTCTTGTATATATGATCGCATAAAATGGACTTTTAAGTGAGTTACTGTTTAGTGACAGATGGCATACTATTTAGAGAGGCATTCTGGGGTTAAGTGAGTTGCTCAAGGGAGCAATAGTCACAGATCAGGTTTGTGATCCCAATAACTCTCCAGTCACCCTTATTTAGGAAATCTTGGTGGTTACCACCACCTTCATCTTTGGATATAGGCAGAGGCAGACAAAGTACTCAACTCCATTACTTGAGTGAAAGTACAGATACCGCTGGTCAAATATTACTCCATTACAAGTAAAAGTTGTAAAGACAGATTCTTACTTAAGTAAAAGTACAGAAGTACTTGCTTTTAAAAGTACTTAAGTACCAAAAGTAAATTTCTTTTTTATGTCAATGCACTGTTTTATTGTTGTAAGTAATACTTGCAATACTTCTGAAGCTTCCTATCTATCTATCTATCTATCTATCTATCTATCTGTCTGTCTGTCTGTCTGTCCGTCCATCTATCGTTTTATCATTCTATCGTTCTATATATCTGTCTATCTAAGAGTTCCTAACACACATGCCCTGTCGGCTGAAAGCAGAGCACAGGATGTGTGAAAAGGCCACAGAAAATGGGCTCCCTGAAGGGGAATGGCGTCTCGGATACCACTTCCTCTCCTAACACAGGATGTTTCCTACAGTTTCATGTAGTGTCAGGCCAGCACAGTGTGTCACATTATGACAAGGCTGGATGAGGGTAACACACACACACACACACATCGCCATGGCTTAATGCTGACAGACCAGTCACCTGGCTGTTCCTGGGTGCTCTCCTCATCTCTTTATGAATACAGGATCACAGCTTAATTCTGAGCCCAGCAGTGAGTGTTACATTACACGAGCGGATTGCTGATACATTTTCAATATTCAGGTTTTCATTTGTTCATAGAATCGTTTTGATGTAGGACATGCCGTTCTCCACGTGGCCGCACACGCACAATGCAGCATGCGTGGGTGAACTGACGCAGTCTCCATGACTCACTCTGACACCAAACCTCACTTACAGCATCATTAATGTCCTTCTGCGTCTGTGGCAGGTGAGCAATCACAGAGCTGCACAGATCAGACCCGCTTACAGCTCCACTGCAGGATTCTTTAAACAGCCATGAAGAGCTTGAGAAATCAACTGATCTTAGCAAAGAGAACTTTTTTTTTTTTTTTTAAACAAAAATGTCATTGTTCTTTAATGAAAGTTACTTTAACATTAACATTTTGGCCTGCTCCAGAAACACATAATATGACCATGCTTTATAGTCATAAATAACCATTTGTGACCCTGGACCACAAAACCAGTCTTAAAGGGATAGTTCACCTAAAAATGAAAATGTTATGTTTATCTGCTTACCCCCAGGGCATCCAAGATGTAGGTGACTTTGTTTCTTCAGTAGAACACATTTGATGATTTTTAACTCCAGCCGTTGCAGTCTATCAGTCGTATAATGCATGGCAATAGTAACAAAATCTATGAGAGTAAAAAAAAACATGCACAGACAAATCCAAATTAAACCCTGCAGCTCATGACGACACACTGATGTCCTAAGACACGAAACGATCGGTTTGTGCCAGAAACCGAACAGTATTTATATCATTTTTTACCTCTAATACACCACTATGTCCAACTGTCTTTGGGCGCGCGCACGGCATCCGGTGCGTGAGGAGTGTACACGCTGGGGTATATTTGTAGCAATAGCCAAAAATACATTGTATGGGTCAAAATTATTGATTTTTATTTTATGCCAAAAATCATTAGGATATTAAGTAAAGATCATGTTCCATGAAGATATTTTGTAAATTTCCTACTGTAAATATATGAAAACTTAATTTTTGATTAGTAACATGCATTGCTAAGAACTTCATTTGGACAACTTTAAAGGCTATTTTCTCAATATTTTTATTTTTTTGCACCCTCAGATTCCAGATATTCAAATAGTTGTATCTCGGCCAAATATTGTCATATCCTAACAAACCATACATCAATGAAAAGCTTATTTATTCAGTTTTCAGATGATGTATAAATTTCAATTTCGAAAAATTGACACTTATGACTGGTTTTGTAGTCCAGGGTCACATTTTAGCCATAAATAACAATTTAAAAAATATATAATAGTTATCTGTAATATCCATTTCAGTGACAGTTTCAACATCCAGAAAATTATTTTTAGTATTATTTTCCTAGTAGTAGTAGTATTTTTATAATGATCTAATAGCAAAAAAAAAAAAAGATCAAGATGGATGATATGCCCTGATTGATGTAAACTTAAAAACCTCCAAATTATGGCATATTTTCTGCTCTGTCACAGGCTTTAAATTAAAAAGTTGTTTGGGTAACACCAAATGTCATAAATCATAAAACACCACAGAAGAGTGAAGCCATTGGAAAAGACACAAGGTCTAAAACCTTTTCATGAACAGTAAAACAGTGTAATATAGGTGCTGTCATTAACATTTTAATCAATGTTATTTACAAGAATATGTTGAAATTGAACATAACACCACTTTCAGGAAAACAAGCAACACCATAATGCTTTTATGCTAGATTCTGGCCTGTACCCATGGCAACATCCTGATAATTCAGCTTTTGGAAGTCTTTTGAGAGATTACAACTTTCATCTTTGATTATGAAGAGCATTCAGAATAAGCCTCAGATATGTCTAGTACCAGATGCAGACTACTGTTAAAATTTTTTGCTGTTAGTAAGAATTTAAAAAAAAAATTATTCAGCAAGGATGCATTAAAATGATTAAAAGTGACAGTAAAACATTTATTTACAAAACTTACATTTACAAAAAAATATATATTTCAAATAAATGCTGTTCTTTTCAACGTTCTATTCATTACATAATCCTGAAAAAAGTATCATAGTTCCACAAAAATATTAAACAGAACAATTTTTTTAACATTAATAATAATAACCAAATCTGTATATTAGAATGATTTCTGAAGGATCATGTGACACTGAAGACTGGAGTAATGACTGCTGAAAATTCAGCTTTGCTATCAAATAGCAAATATATCAAATATATAATTTTAAAAAATATATTAATACAGAAAAGAATTGCAACAATATTTCACAATATTTACCGTTTTTTTTTTTTTTTTTTAATCAAATAAACGCAGTCTAGGTGAACATAAGAGAAATTTTTTTTTTTTTAAATCTTACAGACTCCAAACTTTTGAACGGTGGTCTATCTAGTACTTCTGGAAGCCCGTTTGGTTAGGAAACCTTCAGTATTACTTCTGCAAGATGATATAAGCTTAGCTACTGTACAACTACAGAAACTTATTGAATATTATATACATTCATTACTGCTTTTTAACTAAAAATACACAATAAACCAAATACAATAATTAAGCATTTACTTAAACATTCTTTATTTTGATATAAGGAACAGACATGGACAGAGACATTGACATTCTGAATCTGAAAAGAGTCCTAAATTAAGAGCCAAATAAAGATCTCAAAGTCCACATTGTGGCCAGCAGAGGGCGATACACGGTTTTTAGATAGACTTGGATGGCAGCATCCAATTTTAAACAAAAATACAGAGCAACAGCGTTGACCACGTGAATTCAGGAATGTAAACTTCAGTATATTCTATTATTGTTACAGGAAATGTACAATAAACTCTTAACTTGCACTAAAGCATCTGTAAGAACTCAGCCACGGCCAATATATATCAGATGGCTACAGAATGTGTAACCTTTTTAACAGATCTTATTAATGGCAGATAACCATCCTGTGTTGACCACAAAATGTGTTTTTCACTTTTGAATGTACAGTATGATAGTTAGTCCCATCCTGATTGTTTTGTCCAGAGAATCCACTGCTTACCAATATTGCAGAATCTAATAGGCTGGTACACAATGTTCAGACATGGCTTGTAAAAACCATAATTGCATGTAATTTAGTGTCTAATCCAGGACCGTCTTACAAAATGGCATAATGCAGATGGGTTGTTCCAAACTTTTGTCTCAGCAGGGGCTCGGCACGGGCAGTGCTGCAACACACTCGTTGCGATCCAGCTGTTGGCCACATGTGTGTGATGGGGTCATTGAGTCCATACCCGGCTCTACATCATATCCTTTCTTTCAGAGTTCCTAAGGACCACCATGTTGGGATGAACAGTAGGCGGCTGAAGAACCTCGGCTTTGTCCAGAAGGTTCTAGGCTCTTCTGGTTGTGGATGTAGGGTGAAGATGCTGAGGAAAGCCCTTCTGTGGACGAGAAGGTGGGGCTGCTGGCCCTAATCCTGTTATCCCAGCCTTCTTAATCCAGATCCAGTCAGTCTTTACACCTCTTCAGTCACACAAATACAAACACACTTCCAATAAATACAAATACATCACAGACATCATGGAGGGCATCATGATGATGGGTGTTGAAGGGATCAAGAAAACCATCTTGCATGGAGGGACCGGTGAGAAGCCTAAATTTGTCACAGGAAGCGTCACTGCATCTATAACAGTAGAAACTGTTCCAGGATGTGAGTCATTTCATTGTTTGCCTAACTGAATCTAGAGATCACGTCTTTTTTCATTACACACGTAATAGGTTGTTTTTATGGGATTATATAATCAATTTCAGAGTAGGCAAAGTAGTTTTCTTGTCTCTTTAATGTCATAGTAAGTTGATCACGTCACTTGTAGGGAGTGTGTGGCTTTAAATAAGCAAAAACTATAAGTTCTCATGAGGTATATAGAGATTTTTAGTGCGGAGTACTAGTTTTTTTTAGTTTTTTTGTGTGGATTTAACAGTTGATTTAACCCAAAATAACAAAATTTGGGGCTAAAGCTTTTTTTAACTCTTCCATGTTCCTTACAGGTGACGTTCCATTTCCGCACTGAGCTCTGCAATGATGAGCGTACAGTGATCGATGACAGTAAGAAGGCAGGTATGCCCATGGAAATGGTGATCGGGAACTTGTTTAAACTGGATGTCTGGGAGATTCTGCTCATGTCCATGCACATAGGGGAGGTGGCTGAGTTCTGCTGTGACGTCATTGTAAGTATAATGTGATTTCCCATGTGGTCCCTCCCATTCTCCCTGGTCAGTACCACAAACTACAGAGGTGGAATTAAAAATTATAAATAACTGAATCGTCCAGACTCATCGGACATTGAATTGGATCTAAAGTAAATGGAATCTATCAAACTGAAATTCAAAGACACAAAAATCAATAATAATAATAATAATAATTTTATTGAATACTAATTATTATTAAGTTACTTGTCAATTATTTGTAGTTAAAAACTAGTAATAATTATACGAATTTCCTTGAATTTTATTCCATTTTAATACTACTTCCTCAAATTAATTATTTTCAATTTTACATCCACTTGGCTCCCTCAAATTCAGTTAAATTTCAATTTAAAAGCCATTCTCTTTTCCATTCTCAATGATGCTGAACTTAAATAATTAATATATGTAATATTATATACATGTACCTTACCGTTTAAAAGCTTGGGGTCAGTAAAGTTTTTAATGTTTTTGAAAGAAGTCTCTTGTGCTCACCAGGGCTGTACAGTAAAACCAGTAATATTGTGAAATATTATTACAATTTAAAATAACCATTTTCTTTGTGAATATATTTAAAAATATAGTTTATTCCCGTGATGACAAAGCTGAATTTTCAGCAGAAATAATTCTAATATGTTGATTTGGTCATAACATAACTTTGCTCATAACATTTCTTATTATTATCAATGTTGAAAATAGTTGTGCTGCTTAATATCTTTGTGGAAACTGTGATTTTTTCCCCAGGATTCTTTGATGAATAATAGAATGTTCAAAACAAGAGCATTTGATTGAAACTGAAATTTTTTTGTAACTTTGTCTTTAAGGTAATTTTTGATCAAATTAATGCATTCTTTCTGAATTTATTTTCAAAAAATATTCCTGAACCCAAAACTTTGAACAGTAGAAAATGATCTTAAAAAATTATTCACACCTCACGTTTGAGTGAAGGCCAAATTGTAAACTGACATCATAAACCGATAACCCTTTACACAGTAAATGTGTTCAGATGAGAAATGGTGATTGACATTTCAGTCAGTGACCTTTATGCTTAGCTACAAGCACAAAGTTGTGGAATACCACAGTTCCAGACTGGAGGTTGTCATATGTTAGCCTGACAGAAAGCTTAAATCCTTACAAAATAGGATTAATCTGAGTCTGTTCCACATGGTATAATCATCATTTACAGCTGCCATCCCAGCTCCAGCACCTAAGATACAGTACTGTGGCTCTAACAGTCTCTAGCATTATGGGAATGCCAAGATTGTTAATACAAACACAGTCATGAACACATAAACACACACCTTTAAGCTTTAGAAATGGCTTTTAAAATAATAGTTGGAAATGGAATTATTTGCAGTAACTCCAATAAATGTAACTTTTACCCTGAAAAATGACTTATTTTAGGGATTATAATTAAGTATTGTTTTCCGTGTTTTATGTTCTTTCCTCTATGGCCGAGCAGCACACAGCATCCAATAGTGACAAATTGTATCCAATAGTGGCAAAGAGTCTGCGGCGTATCGCAGTGGGGAAAGATCCAGTGGACTGGCACATTCACACCTGCGGCATGGCCAACATGGTTGCCTACCACAGCCTGGGCTATGATGATTTGGATGAGCTTCAGAAAGAACCACAGCCTCTTTACTTTGTAATGGAACTTCTGAAGGTCCGGAATTTCAGTCACATTGAGAAAAATATTTGCATTCATTTGTAAATGAGCAGATATTTGCATAAACATACTTTCATATTTAATATGGATTTTACTTGTACTTTTACTTTACATGAAGAACAGGTCCCACACACTGCTTTAGCTTGCAAAGAAGGCTTGATATTTATCATCACTGCAAGGTTTTATTCTAAAGACATTCGCCAGGAATTTAGAAAGATCGAAAAGCTGTAGTGCTAACAAATATTCTTTGAATTGAATTATTCTTCGCAAGCTACAGCAGTGTGCAGGACTTTGTCTTCTTTAATAATATACTTCCCATATATGCACCAGCTGTAACCTTTCATGGCTTTTTATTTATCTGCAATATTATATTTAGTGAAATACATCATTCAACTTACGGCTTTCAGTAGATCTACCCCAGACCGCTGACTGTTTTTTTTTAATTCACAAGCGCAGTACACAAAATGACCACTAGGTGGAGCTATGAGATAATTTCCAAACCTGTTTAAGCTGCGGCATTAACTGGAAATTAATTTTATGTGCGAAACTTACTGCAGTAATCAATAATGGGTTCAGGTACAGCAGCCCAGTGAGTATGACAGAGAGTCCTGGGCTCTGAATGATGAGGAGAGGCTGAAAGCGGTACCTGTGCTCCATGGTCAAGGGAACAAGCTCTTCAAACAGGGCCGATATGATGACGCCACACTGAAATATAAGGAAGCCATTATGTGCATTAAGAATGTGCAGACAAAGGTAAGAATACACCTCTGTAACAGGTGTTAATACATTCAGTAGCTTAAAAATGGCTATATTCTTAGAAAAAAAATCTCCTTGTTTTGATCATCAAAGGATAGAATAATAATACCACTTATATAATATTAATGAGGCATGTCTCATTTAATTGAAATGTGTGTTTCTTCAGGAAAAGGCATGGGAAGCTCCCTGGCTGAGACTGGAGAAGATGGCCAACACACTCACTTTAAACTACTGTCAGTGTCTGCTGCTCATGGAGGAGTACTATGAGGTCATTGAACACACAACTGACATCATCAACCAGCACCCTGGTGAGTAACAGGAAATTGTCAGTTCTCCCACCATTTACTGACCAATTACAATCACAGTCAAACGGCAACAGACATTTGCCTCATCAGTGTGTTAGACCTGTTGATGTCTGCCGGCACTAGTTTTCACCGATTGCTCATGTTGATTCTGTGTTTGTCGGGTCTTGGAATGCCTGAGAAGAACTGATGTACTGTAATCGGTTGACTGTCGCTGTTGGTCTGCGTCTGTTGATGCGATGTGAATTGGCCTTATAACAAGATGTGTTTCCTGATGTCAAATGCACCAGTTGTTGAAAGCATTCTCTGTATTTGCAGGGGCAATGAAAGCCTTCTATCTCCGTGGAAAAGCCCACATGGAGGTGTGGAATGAAGCTGAGGCCAGAGATGATTTCATGAGTGTCCTGGATCTGGACCCAGGCATGAAAAAGACAATCAAGAAAGAGCTTGCAGTTCTCAAAATGAGAATGGAGTTAAAAAATGAGGAGGACAGACTGAAATACAAGGGCATGTTCACAAAAATGGCGAGAGAGCAAGAGTCAGAGCTGGAGAATCCAGATCAAGAGATTCCAGAGCAAATGTCTCCAGAACAAGAAACAACTGAAGTTCAGAGGAAGCATCGCTAGAGCAAACAGGTGAAGAACAAGCAAATTCAACGCAAACATCTCCAGAGCAAATAACTTCAGCACAAGAAGTTACACAAGACATTGTTTCACAAGAAGAAACATCTACTGCACTATCAAGTTCTGATCATGAGAAACCAGAACAATCAGAATGTGACTCCAGAACAAACTACCACAGAAGAAGCTACTCCAGAACAGTTAGACGCAGTAGAAATGTTTCTGGAGCAATTCGTTTCTGAAGAACCATCACCAGAACATACAACTCCAGAGCCAACTTGTCCAGAACAAGCAGACCAAGATCTCGTATCTTCAGAACAAATGACTCCAGTTGAACCCTTTTGACTTTTTTACTTCTGTAATGCTTTGTCTGCTGCTTTTCTTCATGTATTCTACATTATAATGTAAGATTTAACTTTACCATAGTGATTGTAGTTTTGCCAAATCATCCAATAAAATAGTACTCAATCAGTTGCTATGTTGTGGTGGACAATTGAATAATGAATAATGAATTCATCAGTAGCATTTTGTGTCTCTAAACATAAACTTCATGGTAACTCTACATGTCCCACTCTTTATGCACTGACATAGCAAACAGTCCTATAATTAATTAAAATATTAAAAATAAAATGTATAATGTTTATTAAATCTATCATGTTCATAAATTAATCATGTTTGAGATATTTAAATATTTGAACTAATATTAAATTCAATTAAAACTATTTAATTATATGAGGTCTCCTTGATTTCTTGATTGCCAAATATTACTGTAAGGCTGTTATTACCATTTCAAGAGTGAGAACTGAAAACTGGTTATGATTTTTTTTTTCTAATAAATTCGATTTAGCATTTTTATGATTTAATTTTGTAGTTTTTCATCAATTCATGACCCCCACAATGATATCAGTTGAGGAACAGATTAGATCAATGTCATTACATAAGATATTATTTTAAGGGGATTCCCGTGTTTCTGTCTACAGTTTCCCAGCATATTTACATTCTCCTCATGAAACCAGGCTTGTCATTGAGTGGGGACAACATTGTGAAAGTCTAATGATTAGTTATGATTAAATGAAGAACAGCACATAGATAATTCAAACACTATCCGCTAGTTTGATTAATGAGAGATCACTGAGGTTTTGAGTTGATAAAAAGAAAAAATTATTGGTGTTCAAGTCTCATGTCATTTTTCCAGATATCCTTCTTTTATTCATCACAATATATGGGCTATCTCTCTCTCTCTCTCTCTCTCTGTATCCTCCTTCTGACCACTTCAATCTTTGATTTCTGGCTAAGTAATAAAAAGAATACGAAAATAGCATAAGTAATGCTTGTTTATGGTATAAAATGTTTTAAAAGGCTGCAAAAACACAGGGAGGTATTGCAGCATCCCCAGGGGAAGAACATTGGGAGTATTGCATAGAAAGACCAGCGCACCTCCATCATTGATGCAGAGGAGGTGAGAGAGGAACATCACTGCACTTGCTGCTGCTGTGCAACAACGTTAACCTGCTGTTCTTCCGCTGCAACATCACAAAGGCACCTGCTTTTTCATTTTCACACAAGAACACTGATTTTTCCCCCCTACGCCTTTTAAGACGTTTTGGGTAGCCTAATGTTGCTGTGCTGTGGAAATGCTGAAGTCCAGATGAGTCGCGTCTCTGTGGTTTAGTTGAGTGTGTGGGCAGAGGAGATTGTCCTCCGATCTGGATTGAACTGAGCGGAATTGAATCCATTAAACACGATCACACAGAGAGGATGACCATATCGACATGGGAGGATAAAGTCACAACGCCTCTATAACTTGTTTTAATTAGTTTTAAAAAACTGCGAGGAAAGAAATCTGGACATATTTTTTCTACGTTGAAAGTCACATTAACCGTATGAATACAATCAAACGCGTCATTTGAAGTTGAAAAATCGTAAACAATGGGAAATTAGCCTCGTCTGACAACTTTGATAATATTTCATATCCACCAAAAGTTTTTTTTTCCTTTCAGAAACATTAACTTTGGATTTCCACAATGGCAATAAACACAGATACGGAGTTTGCGAAATCGAATCTGGGGGAGAGCGGCGCAACGCAACCAGCCGAGACCGAGAAACTCCTCGTGACCACCGAGCCCACCGGGGTGAAGACTTCCAGCTCCTTCACGGTCAGTGTCGGGGGTGACAAGGCTCTCGACGGGGACCAGAACGGCCACAGTCTGCCGCTGAGATCCGGATCAGCGGGGCAGCTCGGGTCGGCTCCTCTCTCCCCGTCCAGAGTGAGCCTGAGCCGCACTTCTTCGACCGGTAATGCCGCCCAAGAGCAGCAGAAACCCAAAGACTACCTCATACTGGTCATTTTGTCCTGCTTTTGTCCCGTGTGGCCACTAAGCATCGTTGCATTGGCCTATTCAATTATGGTGAGTGTCAATAAGTTATAAATGAAATAATTCAAGTCTGGGTGTTGTTTCCTAATTCAGACCAGTAGTCCCACATTGTACTGTAAATATTTCTGTATGGCACAAAATTGTGCTGAAAGTACTTGAACAAACCACACAAGCATCTTTCGAGTCAATAAACAGTGTCTATCTGTTGTATGGCAAGCCTTTTATAGGTATCCCTTAAACTAATGTTACTTGTAGGCTACTTTAAAGCTGAATAGTCTAGTCACTAGTATATTTTTCCAAATTTACTAGTAACAATTCATTAGATTCTTATTCCAACAGTTACTGCATCTAGTCACTTATTCAATGCATACTAATTTTGATAATTGTTCAAATAGTTACAATATTTTCCCCAGTTTTCTTAGTACATTAGTATAGTACTTTATTTCAGATTAGTGTGCATTCCATTTGTTACTTTTTTTTTTTTTTTTACTCATTACTGTGGTAAGATTTTTTTTAATTGAACTATTAAAACTAGTAATTTATATATGGTAAAAGGCAATCATAGCTAATGAGCTACATACTAGTGTCTTAAAAATACTGTCCAGGTACTAACCAATACATAAGTACTAGCACAACTGAAATAGATAGCAATTAAAATGATGTAATAAAATAGATACTAGTTAGTTTTAATAGTACTAGTTTAGTTTTAATTTGATACAAGTGAGCATAATTGCTAAAATGACTTGCCATACTCTTGCAAATCATATGCAAAAGCACAGGAGCTGCATTGAGAGAGCAGAGCATAGATCCACTGACAGGTGTGATTTACAGCCCTGCATATGCTCGCAGTGAACGGACCTGCCTGCGTGCTAGGGAGTTATTCGCCAGAAAATTGGTGCAGAATACTTCCACCGAACATCAAGCACCTGCACAGCACAAACTCTAGGGACTGTGGCGCAAAACATTCAATTAAGCAGCATAAATATGGTGCAGTGTTCTTAAAAAGCCAGAAAATGAAAGCAAGCCTAATTTTGATTGAAAGCATTGTTAATTTTGAACAAGCTTTAGGTTCATACAGTTGAGGCTACAAGGCAAACATGTTTACAAAGCACAAATACAAATATCATTATTGATCCCAAAAATATGCCAAATAACATCTTTATTTCCATCCATGTAACTTAGAGGATCAGACTGTGAGAGTGCTTGTTTGTAGGGTGTGGTACCATTTATCTGTATTTAATGAAGATGTACAAAAGATGGTGTTCATGACATGTCTAGGAACTATTTAGCACGATCCTGCATTGTCCCTCTGCAAAAGATATCCTTATTAGCAGATAACAGTATGCCCTGTTTTTATAATAATAGATGAGTGCTTTTGTGTTCACTTTTTCATCCCCTCGCTCTGAAAGAACAGTGAATCAGCAGCGTATAACCTCAGCAGTATACAAATTAGACTTTCCAGTGGAGTCACAGAAGAGCAGCTTTTAAACACATAACTTCAGTAAATTTAATAAGACACAGTCAAATTCAGCCTTAAGTGAATTTTGAACCATTGTGTGCTCAGTGCTCATTACAACTTTCTAAGTGTTTCAGTAGGACATGCACTATTAGAGAAACACAAATTAGAGCATTAAATTTTCATCAGCGGAAAAGCGCCATACAAATGTGCTCCGGTTTCTTGTAAAGATCAAAATCCTATATAGATTTACAGTACAGAATGACCCCTGCTGTGCCCCTATCAAAAACCATTCCGGTGGGATCTCACTTGATGCCTTTCGCAGAGCCTTTGTGTTATGACAGTTTAGATATTTAGAGTCCTGGGGCCTCATTTATGAAATGTGCATACGCACAGATTTGATCTTAGAGTGTGCGTACGCTAAAATCCACGGCAACTTTCATATTTATAAAAACGGTCTTTGACGTGGAAAAGTACTTGCCGCCACGTCAGGGTCTGAGCAGGCGTACGCACTTTTCCTTGTGGCAAAGTCGGAGTACTGCAGCTATTTGAACATCTAAGCTGCAATAATAATAAAAGTGGTGTACTGTACGTGAAAGCACTGAATTCATCATAAACAACAAAGATGCAGTGTAAGAGATTAACTGTGCAGTGTAGTCAGATTTTTTTATTAACGGGAGTTTTTGTGAGATTAAACTGACCTTTATAGTAGCCTAATGTTGTGAGTTCTTTACTTGCTTTCTGTACACAGTTTATTCCATGTTGTTTTTTTATTATTTTATTTTATAAGAGAACTTGCGAAGTCTTGATTTACTACTGATGCGTAAAATAGAAAAAAAAAAAAGCTGACTGTTTTGTCTGTGTAGCCTATAAGAATAGACCTATGTCGTGCAATAACGGTTTTAATATATTCTATTCAATAATTTACATCAGTTATATTTGTATAAAATACACTATATATTTTTGTGTCAGTACATTAATGGCACATTTGAGCAGCATTAGTAAACTGTGTAAATATAAATAAATGCCAAATCACATGCAGGTTTTTTCAGACCGGAGACCATAATCGTGTACTAATTTATTCTATTATGATATGAAACATCCAATTTTTCTTTCAATAATGTTTTTTAAAGTTTTGCAAGAATTTCGTGATACTAAACTTTTCATTAGTTGTCATAGCAAGTGATTTTAGAAGTAGGATGGCTCACTTTTTTTAGACTCTCCTCATGAACCTGATCCAGTTCAAGTTTTTCAGTTTTGAGGATGCATTGAAAGCTACCAATATTGTTTTGCAAACACCTGTACTACTGACCATACTCATGCAAATTGAGTCTCCCAGCCTCGTCTGTCCACACAAATACAAATAACCCTCTTATCCAAGCCAACAGAGCTGAAACCAAAGCTGGCTGACAATTCAACAGAGGGCAAGACAGATCAATTTAGCGTTATAACCTGCTGTAAGGACCCCTCTGCATCATTTTGGGTCATAATTCTTAACCCTTTTGCTCCATAGTCAAAAATAAAATAAACGTAAAAAAATTAATAAATAATAAAATAAAATAATCCAAAAGAAATGTTTACAGGATTTTTATTAGAATTTGGACCATAACTCTTATTTAAAGCTTAATCTAGAACTGCATCCAAATGAAATCTAAAGAGAGATGACACTATTGCACATTGCAAATATACTGTATAAAATGCAGAAAATTTATTCTTTTTTATTATAAACGTTATGTTTAACCCAAACAACAACAAGCCAGTTAGAAGAGTGAGAGAGACACAGAGGCATGTTATTGTATATCTCATTTGGTAAGTTTAAAATATTAACATTGACATTTCCAAAAGTGGAAAATATTTATGAAATAATGTATCAAAAATGTTTATGATATAGTATTTTACATTAATGCTACACTTTAAAAAATTAATTTGTAAAATGACAGAAAAAGTACTGGCAGCTCATTACACAGGACATTATCCATAAATTTGACAGACATTTCTGTTAACTCTAAAACACAACGCAATGCAGTGTAAAATTCTAAATACTGGTAAAACACCTGTAAAAAATACGGAAAATTCCTAATACAGTACATTGTCCCCTATTTTTACAGATTTTTAGATTGTACTCTTGACTAAGGATTTCTGAGACGAGCACAACAAAAATAGGCACGACACAGTCATCTGATTTGAATTTGAAATCGCACCGCACACATTTTCATTAATGTGGCTTCGCCAATATTCGATATTCCAAAAGTTATTATTTGTGTCTTTCTGAATAAATTGTTTGACTTCGGCACATCCCTCATGAATCATGAAACCAAAAGGTATTAAAGCACTTTCAAAATAAGAGCACAAAAGAAAAAAGAGAATATAGACAAAACGAGACTTAATGTGTGCAACAAATTGCGTAGGCTACTTATGCGCTATTCTATGGCACTTTATTAACCAAAAAACGAAGTGTAGAATCTAGAATGTAGGACACTTCATGCACCCAACTGTCGCAGCTTTAATCACGTAACGGGGGGTGGGGGGGCTATCTGACTTCAATGTTGGATGACAAAATAACCTTATAAAATTAATTCACTACACGGCTGAATACATATATAGTGTATAAGTGCATAGTGTATACTGCGTCATTTGGGATACAACTTTAGTGGCCTCCTCTGGTCAAAAGAGGAAACCTAAAAAAAAACGGGATGTAACAAACAGATTTCGTTTTTGTGTTGTGATGGAGGGCTATATGAAAACTCCCATTAGGATGATTCCAGATGCATGCGCCCATAGCCACAGACATAAACAGTCCCTCTCAGCCAAGATGTAGAAAGCAATTGTAACCAACAACATACTAGCGAGGTTTTGTACTGTAGGTATGCATCAGAAACTCTGAAATCAATGAGCTTACAGAGGCAGTACAGTGGCGAATAAGATGTTGTGGTGAGCTGAAGCTCATGGAAGCTGAATGGAGTCATTTGGCTTGGCATGGGAAGGTGGGGTGGATTTTACTGGCCAATCTCAGTGCAATGGGAGGATCAGTAAAGAAGTTACTGCATACGCTGCAGCTTCTGCTGGTGAAATATGCTAAGCAGAGTTGCTGAATGGCTTTGTTTCTGTGTCCGTTACACTCTAACAGGAATTTGAGGCTACGATGGGCTGCCATTTTCTGCTTTTCCAGCTTTACAAAAAGCTCATATAGACTAGCTATGGAAAATATTGACGCATTAAGCAGCTTGTTGCTTGTCTCTCAAACTAGCCCTATACTGTAATATGGTGTCATCATTTTCTCACAATGCTGAGTGAAACATTACATTATGAAAGCAAACAGCCCGTGAGATCGTGTTTCCAATGCACCTGCTCATGTACTGACAACAGAAGCTTGCTTTCCATGGGCTAAATAAAGAGGCTGGAGGCAAATAAATATAAATAAACGAAATAAATGTGTAAAAAACAGAATGAGGAAAAAATAGAATAAAAACAGTACAAAAATAAAAACTAAATGAATACTGAAAAAAGTAATGAGTAATGAGATATTCAAAGATATTAACATTATGGCAGATACCAGTAAGCGCACAGTAGTTTTCACGTTAATTCAGAGAACCGATAAATGGCAGATTTAAAAATTCGATAGTAAATTCGAAATAAATGTTCTTTATTTGCATCTAGATCCATGCACAGGCACTGCACAAAAGGTTCATTATAGTGAAAAATGTTCTTCACACTAAGTTCTCTTAAGAACAGTTTACAAAAAGGTTCTTTGGGGAGCCAAAAATGGTTCTTCTACGTCTACGGCATTACGGCGAAAACCTCTTTTTGAAACCTTTATTCTTAAGACTTAAGACTATAGATCAGCATTTTGTATAAATAATTAAAAAATAAAACACAAAAACCAAATTGTTATAAATGCTAATTAAGGGGTCATAACATTTTAATGTACAATATAAAAAAAGAGATATTACTTTTAAAATGTGATAAAGAATTTAAACATAATATTAAATTATTAGTGTTATTAAACATTAATTTCATAGGGAAATTTGACCCAAAAATGAAAAATGAAGATATTTTGAAGAATGTAACCAAACAGTTGCTGGTAGCCTTTGACTTCAATTGTATTTTTTTTTCTCCATACTATGGAAGTTAATGGCTACCAGCAGCTGTTTGGTTACATTCTTCAAAATATCATGTTCAGCAGAAGAAAGAAACTCATACAGGTTTGGAACAACTTGAGGGTGAGTAAATGATGACAGACTTTTCATTTTTGGGTGGACTATTCCTTTAAGTGAGCATTAGTTATTGCCAAAGCTAATCTAAGTTTAAAGGAAGTGGCTATTAATAATTATAGCTGCAGTTTAAAAAAACAAATATTATGTTTATTATATAATGTGGTTTATTACTCTGTCTAGTCAAATTAAAACAAAAATATTACAGTATTGGTTTTGTGTTGAAAATACATTTATTTCGGACATTAAAAAAAACAAGCAAAGAGCACCGTTCCACTGGTGTGTTCGCTGTGCACCATTGTGCAGATTTCTACAATCATTCCTCCTCAGCCGTTGGCATAGCTGTTTATAATTAATGGCTCAGGCTTGTGAGGGAAAGCTAAGAGCTCCTTTTCACTCCCAGACTGCAGCAGGAGTGGGTTGAGAGGGGGGAGGGGAGGGGAGTGTTCCTGTGTGTTTATGTGACATACAATGAGAGGGAGAAAGTGAGGAGAAAAGGGGGTCATCGAATCAGCCCAGAAGAATTGGCAAGACTTTTCAAGAGAAATATATTCCAGGCCAAAGCTCCTGGGGAATCAGTGTTATCCGTTTGCCGTGTCATGGGACACACCCCTCCTCTACTCGGAAAAGCCGCACACATCCCATTACAGTCCACTGGCGTTTCTGAGCATTCTCTAAACCGCAGTCAGGCAAAATGCACCTCAAAACACAAAGAGCCAAAAGCCATTTGCGCAGCTGCATCAGGATGGCACACGACACATACTGCACTGTCATCACACTAAATGAAAGCGGGTGTGAACGGCCGTGAGACTGAAACGCAAGAACGGCAGACGGCATTTTACTACACAGTATTTTCAAAAGACTTTTACTGATTGAAAGCGCTGATACGGCTTTTCGCAGTGATTAGACTTGGGAATCGATAACGTTGTGCTGCTCCAGCCACATATTATACCCCTGCTAGGATGTCAGAGCCAGTCTGCAGTATTTGAACTGAGAGACGATGGGCAGGTTAGCAGAGAGGGAAGGGTACAGGTCCTGCCATATGAGGTTATCTACTTCTGAAAAACAGATATTCAAGTATATTCCACAAGACAGGGATCTTAATGTTGTTGTTTGAAGGCTTTTGGTTGCATGAGTCCCTCACTTGTCTTGAGTGTTACATCTGGACATCAACATTGAGGCATATGGTTGAGAACTCATTCAAACGGTCCTTGATGCTCAAGGAGGAAATATTAAGAGCCAATAATTTCTGTGTGTGTATACCTTTCAAAAGTTTGGGGTTAGTTTAATGCTTTTATTCAGGAAGGATGCATTCAATTGTTGAAAAAATGACAGTAAATACATTTGTTACAAAAAAAAATTTCAAATAAGTTCTTTTGAACTTTCTATTCATCAAATAATCCACAAAATATTATTTCACCACTGATAATAATAAGTAATGTTTCTTGAGCATCAAATCAGTATATTAGAATGATTTCTGAAGGATCATGTGACACTGAAGACTGGAGTAATGGTGCTGAAAATTCAGCTTTACCATCACAGGAATAAAAAGCATTTTAAAATATTTCAAAATAAAAAAACAGTTATTTTAAATTGTAATCATATTTCACAATATCACTGGGGTTTATTTTCAAATAAATGAGCCTTGTAGAGCATAAAACATGTTTGTTTTCAAAAACATTAAAAAATCTTTCCGACACAATCCCAAACTACTGAACGGTATTGTACATATATTTTATGTAAATCTGTTATGTCAAATTATAAAAAGCTTTTTTTTTCTCAATGCTTTCTTAAAAAGATAAACATTCAGATTCTATAAGTGGTGTGAGCAGAACTGAATACTGTGGTTCCAAGGCAACAGGTAAACTGCAGTGTGACATTGTGGGTGAAGCAAGAGTGTGTGTATGTGATGGGGGAAGCTCCTCGGTTTCTCCAACAAAACCAGGTTGATAGAGCTGTAATCCTATCTGCTATTGTCCTACCAAATGCTCCAAGTGAACGCTTAAGATGTGATTAAGAGTTTAATGGTTCCACAGTCTGCCTTTCAGACTTTTTTTGTGTTCATTCATCAGGGATGAATGCAATGAATGTGAAGGCAGCTTCCCACTGTGTTTAGTAATGTTCATTTAACATTATGCAGCTTTAAGGATTTCTGAGCCACACTGTGTTTTGCTATTTCCCCATTGGCAGTATTTTCTGTTTATATCTCTTTTTTTTCTGTTATGGCACAAAGCTTGGAGTCTCTAGAATATTTATTTTCTCAACTTGACAAAGATCATCATAAAGGGATAGTGCACCCAAAAAGGAAAATTCTGTCATCATTTACTCACCCTGTTGTTGATCCAAGCAATTCTTTCTTCTGTGGAACATGAAAGAAGATAATTTGAAGAACGTTGGGAAACAAACAACATTGGAGACTACTGACTTCTGGAGGAAAAAAAAAAAAAAGGCTGAGACATTTCTTATGCTCCACAGAAGAAAGTCAGTCATACAGGTTTGGAACAACATGAGAGTGCGTAACTAATAACAGAATTTTTCATTTTTGAGTGAACTACTACCCCTTTTACTTTTGGGCACACGTGATTACTATGTATGTAGTAGCACATCAAGGAGCTGTCAAGTCCAAAGGTGCTGAACTAAGGCCGGAAAACACATGATCTGATCATAGATAAAAATAGACTATATCATACATCAGCTGCAGTTAGTTAGTTAGACTCAATTAGGGCCACATAAAGTTTTAACTTACTGCTTGACAGGTAAATTCAGACCTATTACCTGACATGGCAATAGAAAAAAATTGCTAGCTCACATTTTAGAGAAACCAAATCAATTCCCCATTATCCACAAAAGATGAACAGCAGAGAAAATCAAGTTGGAATTTTCTAAATGTATCTAATTTAACAATAACCAAAATGCATTAATCAGGGTTATTATAGTTAACTAAAACTTTTAAAAAGTGTTACTTGAAATAAATGTTGGCTGAAAAAAAAAAATATATATTTCAGCTAAATGAGAAGGCAACATTTTTTTAATTTTTCATCAAATTAAAATAAATTACAAATTTATAAAAACTCTAAAGACATAAAAAAAACTAACAAAAATTACAAAAACATACTTTTCTAATTACTAACTAAAATTACTGAAATGGTTACTAAAATTTAAAAGAATATGTAAAATATAAAAATAACTAATTCAAAATAATAATAAAAACTATAATATTATCTTAAAACATGTATTAATATAATTGGTGTCCCTTCGTCTTTGATCAATTGTGTGGGGGAAAAAAAGGCTGAAGTTGCAGAAGTTATGAGGCTCTTACACCCTACTTACATAGCAATGCTTTTGGGAATTGTGCCGTGCAGATTAAGTTCAGCTTACTTGCTACTTAAGTTCTAGTGCTTTGGGAAGCTGATCAAAGTCCATTCAGCACCTTGGACAGCGGCATCACTCCCAAGACTCCTGACTTTCTTTTATGACAATGTGAGATTACGTCACATCGCAAGACAAAAAACCACGCCAACAAGATGGAGAATGGAATTAGCATTTGAGTGTGGGGAGATTGGTTGGCCACTGTCAGAGGCTTTTTCCTGCACAATCTATTGCTCGGTATTGATTACTTTAATGCAGTCTACTGGAGAGGCTCTCCCTAGGGTACACTGACCATCTAATGGGTGGCTGTGGCATAGGGCTGCACTAATAAGAAAACACGCTTATCAGCTCACCACATCCTGTATCCAAATCACTTGAACAATTCAAAGAGTCACCTCTGACCTTTTGCTTCCTAGCATACTGAATTTAAACCAAAGGCTTAAATGGAAAAAGAGCACACAGCCTTTTATAACAGATCATACTGCACATATCTGAAGCTTATTGTAATGAGAATTGTGTGACATTCTCTCTTTTTTTGTCTTGTTACAGTCCAGAAACAGTCTACAGCAGGGGGACATGGATGGGGCTAGACGCCTGGGACGCTTGGCTCGCCTGCTTAGCATTGTGGCCATCATCGTGGGCCTCCTTAGCATCATAATCTATGTGGTGGTTGCAGGTATGTCTCATTACAAGCATTTATTGCATCATCTAGCTACAATTAAACAATACAGATGTGACACGCTTTATGATCTTCAGTCGGAATAAGTTGCAATGAGTTGATTTTTGAAAAATGCAATTCTAAGCAAAACACTTGTATTTTGACTGTTACGGTGAGTTATTTTGATCAATTAAAGTCTTAGCTTTGAAATTATTCCAACTTTATCATGGAATTCGAATAATAAATGTCGTTTTGATGCTCTTTAATATGGTATGCTGATTTGGTGCTCAAAAAACATTTCTTATTATTAACGTTGAAAACAGTTCTATTTAATTTTTCCTAAAAACTGGATACTTTTTTTTTATAGATTTTTTTTTTTATGAATAGGAAGTTTAAAAGAATAGCATTCATTTGAAACAGAAATATTTTGCAACAATGTAGAAGTCTTTACTCACATTTTTGATCAATTTAATGCATCCTAGCTGAAAAAAAATCAATAATTTCTTTACAAGAATCTTACTGACCAAAAACTTTGGAAATGTAAATACTTTTGTACTTAAGTAAAAACTTTATTATTTATTATGTTTGAATAAACATCTTGATTCTGTCAGAAATGTCTGAAAATACATTTAAGAAGATTTTCTTAAAAACAAGTTATGACAGCCACCATTTAAATGATTATATTTTGACAAGCAGAAACATAATTTATGTCACAGAAATTCATAAAGACACTGAATTAGTTTCCGGGCCTAAAAGATGGAGCGGTTCACATATTATAGTTTGATAAGTTGCATGTATTTCCATACTCCGTGTTGCTGTTATGATTCATATGCTCTCTTTTTCTGCTCTATCCTCAGTAACTGGATAGAGGGCATAGTAAGGACGAGAAACCCATCTACAACACTACTGCAAACAAAATAAAAACCTCACCCATGATGTAATTAAAATAAGATCTCTCTCTTAACAATAATGCCACACAAGTTAAGATAAAAAGAAACGAGGACTGTAGCAATTAAATAAGATAGCTAAAATGCATGCAGTAGGTTAAGCATGCTCAGTGAAAAAAAATCCCATATGTTAAAAAGAACGGTGATGGCTTGCATTATGTAAATGAGAAACATTGCTGTTTCGGCAAGAACTCGCCTGAGGATGACACAAAGGACAAGGGGACTTTTTTTTCAAAGATGGGTGTTTGAAAACACGGCTACGCCTGGCAAGCTGCATTTTAACCTTATATTACTCCTGGTTGATCTTGCATTTGAAAATTATGCACAGAAATATTTGCAACATAACTACTGATGTATGTTTTATAAAAAGATTTATAAGTGGAGTTTAAGAGGCGGGAATGAACTAGGGATGACAAGACTGTAAGAAATGGTAATTGGGGTTGGAGATTTCATTTTTATTTATTTTGTATGTTTTGATTATTAAAAAATGACCAAAATGACCACACGCATGCCTGATCCTGTATGTGAATAACTATCAGCATTTTTCATTACTATGTTTTTTATCTGTAAGAGTAGAGGGTATTTAAAGATGGGAATGTACATCATTGTCCAGTGTATCAAATGCTATATTCTCTCAACGGCACAATGTTCATGGAGAGCTCTGCCTTTAGCCATGAGGTTCCACTACACGTTCCATACTAGTATAGATTCTCTCAGAGAGGTAAGACTGTATCGTTACGCATGCCAGCCCTCTCTTCCCTGACAAAAACTGCTGGAGCATGGACATTCTTCTAGAGGCATGCAACGGCCAGCACCATTCTGTGCCAAGACCTTTATATCAGTATGCTAAACAAATCACAGGACTATTCATCTTTACCTGGGGTTCTTTCCAGGACAGAATGCCAGTTTTCCTGTCATAAATCTCCCTACTTATCCCTTATTAATATGAGATATATATATCAATATATTTATAGAAATATTTAGGCATGCTGTGGGTGGACAAAACATTAATTTTTTTTTAATCTTCACCTAGAATGAGCTTATGTGTACGGGACTTTGCTTTGATGCATCTCAGTGTTTATTGCATCTCTGATCTGCTGATATTAATATGTGAAAATTACAGATTGTAAAATCGGAGGTACAGATACATAACAGCACTTATCTGGCTAGTTAGTTAGACCGAGTGACGGTTTCACCGAATGTTTCACAGCTCAGTCTATTGATCTGCTTCATTCATACTGAATTAAGTATTTCACTGCCCTGTCATAGATTTCAAAGCACTTTATCACTTACTTTTCATCAATATTCTCATGTCCTGTCAATATGTTTTGAATGCTAAAAGTACGACTTTCATGTATAATCTCCTAAAAATAAACTGTTAGTACCTAAACACCTTAAGATGAGCATTTCATTTATAGGCATTATGCTGAATAATGTACTGTTTTGTGAATTCATGTGATCGAATGCTCTTTTTTTCTGCTTCTCATGACTCTTTTGTTCACTATAAGCAATTATGTTACTGTGTTGTTCATAAAACCCATTATGCCAATATGAATGAGATGCAAAAATGCTGCTGTGTGTCTTTTAAAACTGTGATTTATTATATACAACTTTGGATTCTTGGTTCACTTGTATATCTGTTTTTCTATGTTAGGTTATTAATGTGTACCTTTGCAAGTGTGAAATAAACATTAACATGCATGGTCCACAACTGGCTTGCAGTTATTGACTGTGTACAGCACAGTGGCAAAGAAACATCAGCAAGGAAATTGTTGCATTAGCAAAAAGCGAAATGTTCAGCTTTCCACACAAAGAAACACAGCAAGACAACAGCTTTCAAAGCCTTCCTGCCCAAAGCGCACATATACACAAACTTCATTTTTCATGCTACTGACTATTGCTGTTGTACATAATGCATGGCTAAGGAAATGGCACAAGATCTACTGGCTGATTTTGCACTTCCCTGGTTCTCTGATCCCTAAGTATGGCCCTCTGCCCGGCCTCACTCCAGCACTCAGCACTAACAGCCTTCTCTCACAGTGACACAAAGTGTTTAAGTACTCACAAATCTAGCCACCAGCTTAATGAGGCTAAAATGCCATTATTAGTCATCTAGCATCACAATCCAAAATGGTTTTATTTGCAAGGAGAAGAAACGACAAAAACAGAGCTTTTTGTCAGCGGGAACCCCAAGGAGCTCAATTGTTTACCTGAAGTACCCTGTGAGATGTTAAAAGAATTTAAATATTTCAAAATATAATGAATTGTACAACATCTTTGCATGTCCATTTTTACATTTATTTTTAAGATATACAAATTAATGTAACCCTGCACTGGCTTTTCTATCACAATCTCACAGATGCAACTTATATTCCTGACCGGGAAACCCTGACATGGATATATGTGATGTAAAACAATGGTCCTCAACCAGGGGCCGAGGCTCACTGGGGGCCTCAGCAAATATCCAACAGGGCCTCAAGATGACTTAGATGAAAAAATTCGAAGGAAAAATTCCTTCGATCTTTTGACATATAAGAGCTATAAAAACATCCTGCAAGTTTCAGAACTCAAAACTTTCTCGTTAGTCTAAAAACAGTTAATGAAGCCAATCTGCCAAAACGTCAGCTTGTGGAATGTGCCACTTTATGACGCAATAGTGTGGCTAAACACCGCCTCTGCAGAAGATCAACGCCTGCTTCTACAGCGCTGCCTGTTTAGCCCCGCCCACCAATTCTCATAAGACAAAAACTTCTAAAAATCTAAATATTTCTTATTTTAATTAACTCGCTCATTTAAAAAAAAAATAATAATACATGGCCTTGTAAAATCAAAATATGAGTTTGAATATTGTTGTTGACAATGGGAGGCCTTGAAGTCAAAAAAGAACCACAGATTTAAAACAACCTTTACTGCCAATGCACCAGAATAAAAAATTCTCAACAAGCTAGTTAGGTTTTGCATGCACTGGGTGACATTTCCATATTCCCCTCGTGTGGCTTAAAATGTGGTTAATATGATTTACACAAGTACTGTAGTACGTGTTTCTGCATCAACATCATTTTTTGGTGCAATGACACACGAACCAATAAATCAATGTCTACTTTATTGTTTAGTTCAAGTGTAGGGATGGTCCCAACAACGATGCAAAGTTAGAAATGTTCTGGCAAGTGTGTTGGAGCAAGGTATGTTTGGAGCTAAACTCTGCAGGACATTGGCCACCCCTGATGTAGGCTAATCGTCACTACAGTTGCCCTGGAATAACTTCAGGTTAAGTGTCTCGCAAGGGCACAACGGTGACAGAGTAAGATTGTGATCTCTATAAGTCTCCAGTTTCAGACTCGCTGACTACTCAGCATCTGTAACTTTTTGGAAAGCCGCCCAGGAAACCAAGTATTACATGACCCCCTCACTCACACATTAATACACAGCTGCAGCTATTGATGAAATTAAGCAGAAAGGGCTTCACTGTGTAGTGCTACATTCAGAGAACTGTTTTGCTAGCAGTCTACTTTACCCTCAACAGAGCAAAGGAATAAAAACACAAAAAAATTCCAGAGCTGTCATACCTCAAAATTCATGAATAGTGTTGTAGATTTTTTCTGGTTAGAATAAATTGCTCTGAAGTCTTAGATGTTTTGAAACCAGATAGACTTTATTAACAAGATAACAAAGTTTGAGTTGTGTTTGCAAAGACAACTCCAGAGTCCAGTCTCAAACTCACATATATATATATATACCCTTAAAGGTGATCAATACTTTCCATATATGTGCTTGTGGTATTTTAAGCAGTGAACATGAGCCAAGGGCTTCACCATGAACATTTCCATCCAGGACTGAAATAGGTAATCATGTTTCTCTTGAGCTACTGTGCAAGATTTTAGTAAACTTTCTTTGGTACTATTCTCATAGATTACACTCAATTCAATTATATTCTAATCAATAAAATATTCTACATATTATATATGAGCACCTGATGGATAATCAGTTACATTCCCTGAACCTGTCATGCACTTGCTCCTGTAGCCCCTTTAAAGGGGTCATATGATGCGATTTCAATTTTTCCTTTCACTTTGGAGTGTTACAATTGGAGTGTTACAAGCTCTTGGTGCATAAAGAAGATCTGTAAAGTTGCAAAAACTAGTCTCAAATCCAAAAAGATATTACACCTCGTTTTTCAGACCGATGAGTTTTGTAAAAATCGACGCGTTTCAGAAAGGCGGGGCATAGAGGAGAAACAATAATGTACAGTATGTGGAAAATAATGTTTTTTTTTTAACCTTAAACCGCTTAAACACATTTCATTACACCAAATACACAAAATAATGTTCTTTTTAGCAACATCATATGACCCCTTTAAGGAAAAGGCCCTTTTCCATTTATGAGTGTATTCCATGCCGCTTTAAATAGTTCACTCTCTTCTAAGCACACTGCATCTTCTCGCACACAGCCAAATACATAATAGTGGATAATAGTAGAATAATTTTCTCTTATGGATAGACATAATTCTATATATTATATTGAATCAAGATTAATGAAAATATTCCACAATAGCAGAGCAGGTAATGTGCGTCATGTCTCCGTTCTCACCTCATGTCAGGTAGGAGTCCCATCATAACAACACTAGGAAAGAACAAAAGGCAACATACAGAGCAAAAAACAATAGGGAGGTGACAAATTCTTTCATAAAATAATTCACATTAAAAAAATAATTTATTCTCTGGGCTGGTGTAAAGAGAGCATGTTTCAATCAGCAGGGGAGGTGAGGAGACTTCCAGTGGAGTTCGGTGTGTGGCCTATTAGCTTCCAAATGACTGCTGCAGTACCTCTATACTACAGACACATTTAGGAAGAAAAAACTACAAGGTACTTCATTCGTGACTCTTGCTGTAATCTTGCTCTCATCTACAATTAGCATCTTTTAGATATTTTAGTGCTGTTGCCACAAAATCCATCAAAAATACAATAAACTCTCTGGAAGTATGGTGAGAAACACCTCCTATGGTGATCTGTGATGAACCTTTGGCCAATGCGGCCCATTTCTTCTGTAAAAGACCCTGTGTCCCTCTACATTTGTTCTGCATTTCAGGGCACCTGGTCAATGTATGGACTGGAACAGCAGGAGAATGATGCGACCTTTAGATAATGGACCACCAGGGAACAGAGGAAAAGGGAGGAAAGATTTCTTAGTTTCAAACAGCCTATTCTAGTTTATTGTTTTGGGGAAGCTGATTTCTCAATTGAACGATTATATTGAGTTTATGTGAACATCACTCTCTCTTTATGCATCTATGGAAATACCTCAGACAAACAGATTCCACCAGTCTAACAAGAACTATGGCATATAGCCAGCCGGTCTGACTGCTCCAGATGTGAGAGACTCAGCGTAAACGCTCACTTTTATGGATGGGACATCATTTGTAAACACAAGAGGGATAGAGAATCAGGTGGTGACAATAAGGCTTCCAATCCTTGCTTCTCTTTCCTACAACCCTGCTGCGTAGAGTGCTGGTCTTACCTCTACATGCAATCCCTGTGCTAGTTTTTCATTCGCCTGGATCAATGGTTTTCAGCTTGTATATTCATCATGTTAAAGCTCTGGCCTGCTTCTGTCTCACACTCCAGTTTCATAGGAGGAGCTGTGTGGATGCAAGTCAGTTTAGACAAGAGGCCGTAGGCTGCGAGTACAGGCTTGTTGGTTTAGCCAGATTTTCTTAACTTGAACCTGCTCTAAACTTTAAAACACATCAGTAAAAGCATAAAACAAAAGCACCTTGAAAGAGAAGGGTTAGATATGGCAATGCAAGTTTTTTATTTTTGGACTCCCGTTTTCCAACATTCCTTTCTCCAGTGTAAAATGTCATAGACGAGAGTGTTTAGAAATATCTAAAAAATAGAAGCTTTAGAGGACAGACCTCTAGTGTTTGACACACATTTTTAATATCCTGTATATGAATAATTTATTAATTCACAAAGTACACAGCACGATGAGAAACCCTCTAAAAGGATCATCAAATTAAAACCCCCTTCCGATTAATAATATACAGGAACAGCACAACGCCAAGTTGATGCTTCACAGCTTCGCTTTTGTCTCAAAGCCACTGTGTTATAATATGAAATTTGAAATCTATTCCTGTTAGTAATTTGGTCTCCAGTCCCAGTTCACATCTGAACAGCGCATTGTTTGTAGTATAGAAACAAAAAAAGGCTGTTAGAGCTAAACCCCTCCCAATGCTAAATACAAATAAGGTCCATGCTGGCTACAATCAATCCTGTTACCAGACTAGGCCAGGTGGGCTTCTGTTTTGTGGCCCCAATGGTCCTCCTCTCATTGAGCCCTTTCTCAAGGCTTCGCCACTGCTCTGCAGAACTCCCCCCAAAAGAAGTCGGTTAGCTCCCCTGTCCGTCAGTGAAAAGCATATAGCAGCAGAAGGATGGTGCAGATGCCGATGACTCCTCCCAGAATTAATGAGTCCCTTCTCTTCCTCAAGTTGATCCGCTGTATTAGGTTATTGATGGCAGGGAAACGGTCTGAAGTAGGGGGTCAATTAAGGAAATACAGGGAAATAGAAGATTGCCTTTTCTCAAATACAGACAGCAAGTATTTTTCAAGAATGGATTCAAGAAGATGGATGTGGCTTATTACAATTCGGGTATTACAATTCTGATGCTGATACTTTACATTTAACAGTGTTAATAAATGATGTGTGTTTTAACTTAGGGAGTGTTCCATGATGGCAAAGGTAATCTAAATGTAAAACCAAGGGAAATGAGCACTTACATATCCAAAGTAGGCAGATTCCAATAAACCAATAATCAATATTGCACTGATACATTATGCAACCCTAATGCATACACATTCCTTGTAGAAATCAAGGATACTGGCCAGGGTGTTGACCCTGCTCTGTATAGACTTCAAAAATCCTCGCTGGGAGGTCATGTTCTCCTTGGTTGCCATGGCAATGCTGTGGAAAAAAAAAAAAAAAACAGAAGAGTAGATTTATTGGCACTGGCCCATCACAGCACATATGCACTAAGTGGTCAAAAAGTGCTCCGATCATCGCGTCAAGGGCACAGCAGCTGTCAGAACTGCAGACGCAGGAAAAAGTCCCTCAAAGACAGCAAATGTCTCTTTCACTAGGTTTGATTTCAGACAGGAAGGCAGAAGCTGCATTCATCTAAAGCTCCAGAGACATTAGCTATACACAGCTAGAAACCAAAAGTATGCAGAAAAGTGACCAACCATTACATATCCATTTCCCTTGATACTGCAGAAAGTGAACAGCTCATATTTTGGACAAATCAGGTTTTCCTGCAACAGCCATCATTTGTCCTAACTTAAGGCATAGTTCATCCAAAAATGAAAATTGCCATTTACTCACACTCATGTTATTCCAAACTTACTTACTTTCAGAATTTCTTTCTTTCATGGATCACAAAAGAAGAATGTACTGTTCGTTTTTTTCCATAATTAAAATGGAAACTGAAGCTTTCAAGCTTCAAAAAGAATGGAAAAACCACCATAAATGTATCATAAAATGGTCCATATGTGTTACATATTAGTTTTACAAAACTTAAAAGCTAAAATAAGACAGAAATGGGAAGCATGAATGTGCAGGATGTGTTTGAGGCAATACCTGTGAAATTAGAGCAAGACAACACAATTTTAATGCAGCGTGCAATGCACTGGCCATTAGTTGCCAGTTTCTTGATCTCTGAGGATGAATTAGGTAGTAGCCAAACCCCACTGACACAAACAAGGCATAAAGCACATTAAACAAGACTGTGCACCCTGAGGGCCACAAGGTCTCTGGTGTTTTGTACTCCCAGGTCCCCTAAGTTACAAACAATGAGTTATTTTGATATAACCAGAGTTTTGCTGTGACACCTCTATTCATGCCCTTTATCAACTGTTTGACTTCCGTTCTCAGCCCATGTCCCTGAGCATCTGTACATCACGAAATGATGAACACATGAGCATAATCTCCTAAACTTCATATTTGGGTGTGTATTCTACATTATGACTTCCAGCGTTTGTTTGAATATGCTACCTGCAAGGATGTATACCTAATAAAGTCCTGCTTGTGATAGAAGACTAATCTGACATCATTAAAAGAGAAACATGAGCGCCCACACTCCTCAGAGATCAGAGCTAAGATGAAACATTAAACATTGAGCTCTCATCTTGGTGGCTCCTGGCTGTGGGTGGTACAAAAGGAAGATAATGATTACAAGCAGCTGATATAGCATATTTTTTGCTTGAATAAGACTGGGGTGGGATAAAAAGAGCTGCACAGACCAAGAGCCAACTTAATTAAGCACTAATGCCGGTTGCCAGCTGTGGGGTTTCCCTAGGTGCAGCAGTTAAAGTGTAGGCTACTCTGATGCCCCAGCATAGATCTGCAGTGAGGAAAAGATGGTAATGCCCAACAACACAATATTCACTATTAAAGCACCTCAGGAACAAGACAAAGCTGGTAGATTCATGCAAGTGACATGCTTTTCTGTTAGTTTCTCTTAAAGGGATAGTTTACCTAAAATTATTCTGATTCATCATTTACTCACTCTCATGCCGTTCCATATGTATGCGTCGTTTTTTTATAGTAACAAAAATCATTTAGCCTAGTTCAGTTAGAGGACAGACACTTTTAAAAACGAAACGCTCAATGCAGCGTGTCGAACCGTGCGCGAACGACAGTGCACCACGGAGCAGGAGTCAGATTTTAGTTATCATGTGAGGAGAGTGAGTCGAGCTGACTGACAAGAGTGAGGTGACAGAGACAAGACGATGGCAGAAGATTGTTTAGAAAGGAAATGCAAAGGCGGTATTACTGGTGTTGTCACACGTCGATTAACCGGTGGGAAAATTTCCTCACCGTCACAACCCTAATGTATGACTTACTTTCTTTTGCAGAACACATAAGAACATATTTTTAAAAATGTCTGTTTTTTTTTTGTCCATACAATTAAAGTCAATGGGGTGTAGTGTTTTGTTTATTATCATGAACTAAAAACTATTTTTAAACATTTTTGTTAATTGTAATAAGCCTGAAATTAAATAAAATATAAATATTAGATGAAAAGCCTAAACTAAATGAAAGTTAAAGCACTAAAATTACTAATTGGAAATAAATAACTAAAATTAAAATAGAATTGAACCTAAATATTAATATAAAAAAATAATAAAAAGCACATAACAAAACGACTTATTATTAAACAAATTAAAATGAACACTGAAAAATATAAAATAAAAGCCATTTCGAAATAATAAAAAATACTATAATAATATATAAATAATACTTAAATAACACTCTTTTGGTCCCCATTGAATTTTATTGGAGAAAAACACTCATTCTTCAAAATTCCACAGAAGAAAGATTTGAAATTACATGAGGGTTAATGAATGACAGCATTTTCATTTTTGAACTTTAAGAGTTTAAATCCACTTTCAATTCTAATCTAGCAATAGTCAACTCAATGTAAAAGCAATGTGTCAATGGTTTGTATCCATCCAATGACTGAGATCTTCCTCCTTGAATTTATGACCCTTAGCAGGCTCTTCTTTCAGAACAGACCAGTGCCCGGTTGCATAAAGCACCTTAAGTGTAATTTTCCCTTAAGATCGCCCTTAAGTTTCCCTTACACTTAAGGGCGTTGCATAAAATATCCCTTAAATGTTACTTAAGGGTTTCTTTAGGTGAAACGTCATAAACCCTTAGAATTTCTCTTAAGTATCCCTTAAAACCCATTAAGTGTTGCATAAAGCCTCTTAACTGTCATTTTCCTAAGGATAACACAAGGGTTGGAAAATGTCACCTTAAGTGTTACACAAAAGTCTTCTACAAGTCATGATCGGCCGCTTTATATGTTAAACAGATTTTAATTTACGCATTTATTCACATATAAACATTGATTACATACAGCACATAATTAGCTCAAACGTGAGTGCGTCACACTCAAGAACAAATTTATATTCCATAATATTTTATTCCTGTATTTTCCTACATATTACCTGGAGATGACTTGAAAAACACAAATAAACCATATATTCTTGCAATCGTGAGTTTATTGTGTTTACGTTTCTGCTTTTTATTCAGCTTATAAAATAGGCTACTTCTATGAATCCGGTTTAGACTTTCAGCGCGAGGGCGCCCTCCGGCTTCGAGTATGAATGAAACACACACTGCATGAGAGTTTAGCGCTTTAATGTTCACATCGTTTTGGATACGAATAAAACGTCATGCATAGACTATCTTGGCTCTTTGTATTTAAATATGTATTTATTCACACCAGTCCCTGAAAACCTCTACATGGTCAGAAATGATGAGAGATCTTTATTTGTTGTCCAAAGATTAATAAAAGTCGTATGGGTTTGAACTGACACGAAGGTGAGCAAATTATTTTTCAGAATTTTCCGTTTTGAGTGAATTATCAATTTGAGTTTCTGTCTCATCTGGTCCTTCTCTTTCATATTTGGTTTTCTTTTTTTGTTTTCCTTATCCATGTTATATTGTTTTCTGTGAAAACTTACACCGCTATCTGCATTAACAAATAACGTGACCATGGCAACAGTCGATTTTTTAACGGCAAAACCTGGGTATTTTCCTACATATTACCTGGAGATGACTTGAAAAACACACATAAACCATATATTGTTGCAATCGTGAGTTTATTGTGTTTACGGTTCTAGTTCAGCTTATTAGATAGGCTACTTCTATGAATCCGGTTTGGACTTTCAACGCAAGAGCGCCCTCTGGCTTCGAGTATGAATGAAACGCGCTGCATGAGTGTTTAGCGCTTTAATGTTCACATTTGAGTGAATTACCAGTTTGAGTTTCCGTCTCGTCTGGTCCTTCTCTTTCATATTTGGTTTTCTTTTTTGTTTTCCTTATCCATGTTATATTGTTTTCTGTGAAAACTTACACCGCTATCTGCATTAACAAATAACGTGACCATGGCAACAGTCGATTTTTTAACGGCAAAACCTGGGTCGCTGTCGTGAAACACTTAACGGTTTCCCTTTGCTAAGGGAAGTTTTTAAGGGATTATATGCAACACCCTTAAATCATTCCCTTAGGCAAGGGGAAATCACGCCTTAATTCTCATACTTAAGGGAAAAACTTAAAGGGTTAGTTCACCCAAAAATGAAAATTAGCCTTGGACTGATGCATGCAACACCCGCTGAGTGGCATTAAACAGCTTGAAAGATCAAAGACCATTTTTAATATAACTCCGACTGGACTCGTCTGAAAGAAGAAAGTCATATACACCTAGGATGACTTGAGGGTGAGTAATTTATGGGCTAATTTTAATTTTTGAGTGAACTAACCCTTTAAGGTGCTTTATGCAACCGGGCACAGATATTTTAGTAAAACAAATACAAACGGAAACTGTTGCCATTTATAAGTGCAAGAAGTGTCTGAACTGTTTGTATGAAGCTAGACTTACCTTATTGTGTCATCAATAAGCCGATCTGAGCTGTAAGGAGACAACAAGAAAGGAAAAAGAAAGATGTTTAGACAATGATAACCAAGTTAATTACTGGAGCCCTTTATCATCTTTGAGAGTCAGGTTGAAGGAATCAATGAATGGCAAACATGCAGTGAATGCTGACACCAATAGGTTTTCCAACAAATTAGATCATAATGAATTTAATAAGCATTACAATAATGGACTATTGTCAACATTGTCCATTGTCTACACACATAAACACCACAAGGCTAAAAATACGTGGACACTAGGGTTGTGTATCACCAGCAAAGTCACGATATGATACGTAACACGATACAGAGGCCACGATACGATACATATCACGATACATGACTGCACTGAATTTCACCAAAGCAGAATTTAGAAAAACAGCTGTTTATTAAACACTGCTTACTATAGTGCCATTTCTAACTATTGGCAGAGCAGGCAGTTGACCTCTGCATTATGAAGGGCCTCCATAACTGTACCACAGTACAATATAGGTAATGGCATATGTTTCATGTTTACATTGTGCACTCCCCACCAGGTACAATATTCGGATTGTTTGCATCTTGTTTTTAAGCCCATAAATAATAATGTACTTGTTCTAATAAATTTATATTGTAATGTACTCATTCTATTATTTTAAAAAAATTAATTTACATTGCTGGTAGGTTATCATTGCACAAATTAACACACTCTCGACAATTAAAAAAAAAAATAATTTGAAGAGTTCTAAACTAACGCGCTGTCTTCCCCACCAAAAAATTTTTTATTTTACCCCCGAACGTGATTTTTACTGGGGGACCCTCTCGAAAGCAATTGAGTCTGCGATTCTTCCTATTGTAAAGTCATGCAGTGTGTAACCTCCTGTCGTCGTTCCATCGTGCAGTGTGAACACAGCAACAACTGAATGCTACCCCAGATAGTCGTTCAGTGTGAAACCAACAGTGATGCGACGTCTTTGAAAATCGTGCAGTGTGAACTCGGCATTAGGTGCGCGCGGCAAATATGACGTCATCGCGGTGTTGGCGGAAGTTCGCTTTGAGTGCACGCGACGTCGTTTCGCGTGGCGGTGTGCACGACATTTTTTGTAACTTTCCACGCAGCTCCGCTTCCGAAGATGCACGAGTTCAAAGCGACTCTAGCCGAACATGCACGTCTGTGCCAGCATTTGTGTGAAACAGAAGCAGTTTGATGTTAAGTTCAGTCACACACACAGATCACGCTGTGGCCGCACTCAGACATTCAGGAACAAACTTTTTAGCGCTGCCCCGCAGTTTTATCAACTAAACAGCTTAATCGCTCAAGAACATTATCTTTCTCAACAAGGAGCTGGTAGCATCATTGTTTCTAAAGGAATTAAAGCCACAGCTTTACTGTTAATAGAGAAACGCGGCAAAACGGTGGTAATTCATACATACACAGCCTCTCTCTCGCTCTCCGTGTCGTAAATGAACAGTTGATGAATTACACTTTTCCGAGAATAGAATATTGAAGTGGAGATCGCTAAACTGCAAGCTAACCAGTGTTTTCAGAAAGCA